AAAACTTGTCTTGAGCAACTGCGTTGATTGTGGTTTTGTCAAAGATCACATCAGGAGAAGTGTGGATCTGTGTCCGGCATAATCTTTCAGCGCTCTTTGTGCCAGACTCTGCGGGGTACCTGTAAAAAATAACTGCTACCTCAGATCCGTAAAAACTCGTCAGAAATGAAACTTTGTGATATGGTGGGGGTGGGGGGGGGTGTCTGGAGAAGCTTATCGGACCAAAATATAATTCGAAAATACAACCAAAGAATGCATGGGTCTCAATAACACACAAAAGAAGGCGTTATTGGGTTTTGACCATTTTGAGAAAGATGGTCCATCTTTGACATACTATAGCTTGCTCCCTATTGGTCGTGTTGCAAAAAATGAAATTTGTAGTGAATTTGATGCTCTACAACTTTGTATAGAGACTGTTTCTCGCTAGAACCACTCCTTTTCGAGATATTGCGAAGAAAACGAAAAATGTCCGAAAATTTCGAGGTTTTTCGGCTACCAAAAGTTTTGCCGAGCCCAGATTCAGTCACATTTTTTATATTTTACTCTTAATACCCATTAAAACGAAATAAAAAGATGAAATCTTCTACCCCGCCTTTTGTAAGGTGAACCCTTTTTTTTGGTCTCTGGGAACTGGACTAAAGGAAGTTTAGCAACATTTTCATCCGATTTTTTTCTCCTTTCTACTCCCTTGTTCGAAAAATGATGTGTTTTTGATCCGTTAAATAGTTTGTCAGAAACGGCTAACTAACGCTCATCATGAAAAGCCCTGTATGTAAGCTATATTTATGTGAAGTTTCATCTAAATCTGTTCAGTCGTTTAGGCGTTAAAAAGCCACAAACATATACATACATATATACATATATACATACATTTATCCATCCTCATAAACTTTCACATTGATAGTAGGTATAGATTAGGAGAGGAATTTACGAAAATTATAGAGATAAAGTTTGTATGAGGTGAAGAGTTTTATGATATGTTAGTATTATATTTGATTCGTTGAAAACAACGTTCAGAACATAATCTTTGGAATTCTCAGATATATTTTGATAACCTTTTATTGTTTTCCATATCTTCTTATAGCTGAGCATCAGTTGGGATTCATTCTCTTTTCGTGAAACCGAGGGCGATTCTCTTTGAAAACTCGGTCGTTATGTGTGGAAAACAACACCCAACGTGATTTTTTTTGAACGGAACACCGAGATATGAGTGGAATTTTCATACAATATCTGGCAGTAGTAAAACTCAAAAAAATGGTACCTCGTAAATCCTTAGCTTTAAAAAATTTCTACTTTTAAAAGTTGTCGTTCAAAAATCCTTTTTTCACCATGTATTTATTGTATTTGCCTGAAATGGAACACCAAAAACGTTATTTCACTTCGCCCCTGGTCTTATGTATTTTAGGTGTAATATTATTTGATGTTCTCATTCAAGTTTCAGTATAACTCTTATCTTCATTACGGATGTTTTTTCGTTACGTGACCGAAACAATAAAAGAACAAATAACCCATAAATCTATTCCTCGTATCGTAAAAGACATTCCATGTATATATCTCCAATTACTCACTTCATTCCATTAGATGTAAAAGGCATCGGTGGAAATCTTCCATTTTGAGGGCACATGAAAGTATGCATGAGCTCGCTAAAACAATGAAGTCATGGAGTGTGGGGTTTTTCAATAGGAACACAAGAAATAAGAGAGGATTTCAATCAAACGAGATGAACCTCATGACTTTATGCAAGAGGTGGGCATCAACCGCGCAATTTCACCACTCTTATTGACTTTAGTATCTTGGCTGGTTTTCATTATACAGACACTACGGGTATTCACGGAAACGCTATTTACTCTCTGTTCAACAGACTGATAATCGAGAAAACATGTGGCTTCCATGAAGTAATCAAAAATAACTCACCTTCCATAATATTCTCAATATTCACCGGCATGATATTGTTGCAACTTAGTACTCGCTTGGCTTATTAACGAGAGGAATTTATTCGCTGCGTTTCACCCATTCATCATTCATCCAAATAATGAAAGAACTCATTTAAAAAGTTAATTGAATATTTATTGTAACTAAACAGGGAAAATACTTCAGGAATAAACCTACACTAAAATGGTAATCAAAAATACAATAAATCACCAAAAACTTAAATCATACTGCCACTCAACAGGATCGAAGATGTGCTGCATTTCTGGTACTTTTTCTGAAGATCAATAGATACTGAATGAATTTCTCAATACTGTCTGTTCATGATCGTGACCTCCCTCAATATTTATGAAGATTTTTATGCTGACAATGAAACTTTTGATCGGGTCACTGTACTAAGGTAAAATGCTCAGTTTGCAATCTGTGCGAAGTTTGCGTATTTGGAGATTGTTTTATATTTCTATATCCTGTGATCGTATCAATTTTGATGTCTATGAACTTGGAATAATGAAAGATGGAATTCTGAATACAGAGTGTTTTTATTTTAGAATAATGAAGTTGAGGTTGGAACATCTTTCAATTCATGTATTCGCTTAAAATAGTGTTTCTCAAACTGTTCGCCGTGGAACCTTTACTGGGGCGCCGTGGGCCACTGGTGAGTCTCAAGGTACAACGTTCCACAACATAGTTAACTGAGAGTAAAGGTAATACGTCGGTACCTATTAATAAAAATCCTCTGATAATATGATAATATCGGTAATTGCAAAATGCAATCCGTTCAGTGGCATCAACAGGTATTTCAAACGACTAAAACATTTCGATATCACACACACAGACACACACCTTGTTTTATTCAAATTTAAAGATAGGAGGCACTTAATGAAAAACTCTAAATATCTAGAATAAACAAAACGAATAACTAATTCCATATTTCTTTGAAAACGTCGTTGGCCAGGCCAACACTTTCAACGGCGGGCACTATAGGTCTATGATTACAACTTCTTTTGACCTGAATTAGATGATCTGGACACCAAAGACATGTGGATTCAACAGATCGACGCTACGTGCCACACAGTTCATGCCACATTGGATTTCTGCACCAGCGATTTGAGGGCATGATCATCTCACGTGGAGGTTGCATAAACATTGCGGGTGCAACCTGTTAAATGACCAAATCGATTTAATTTACTCTCCGGTTTTTAAATTGGCACATACGCATTGTGAACAGTAAATTCAGGTACTCAATCAAATACCTGAATGGTATATATTAACAAATGTAATGAATCATTCTTAGTTTATTGTTTAAGTTTGAAAATGTCCTTATAGGAAGAAACTGCAGTAACGTTAGTTACAAATAAAAGTGGTAAAAAACATAGAAGTCTTCTTTTCTCTTTTCATCATTATCTCCAACCACATAGTAACGGCTACATCCATCAATTTATTAAGTGTGAGCTTGGTTTGATAGTGAGTCAAGACTACAAAGTATATGAAGGTTGTGTTTATGACAAACCTACAAGGACCAAATCACTGAGATACAGTCCAATTTGGTTTGCAAAGCACACCTCATCCATCCTTTTCAAAAAATTTAATATTTTCCAGGATGGGTATTTTATTTTCAAATTGTAATACGAGTGGTTACTCCCTTTTTCAAAACTTGGCATGACAATGGCAAATGTTCACTTTCAGTGAGTTTGAATCTATGGATGAATCAAACACTATTGATATGCAATTATATATTTTATTCAACAGAAACACGATTAAGTAAACACTTATGGCAACAATTCATAATAATTATTTGCTAAAACGATTATTCATCACAGATTTAAAGTACTACTCTAGGTAACAAACACATACTTTTTAGAATATTATTAATTAGACAGACTTTAGTAACAAGGCACTTAGCGAACACATTTTTTTTAGATAAGGAAGACGATTAAGTAAACACTTATGGCAACAATTCATAATAATTATTTGCTAAAACGATTATTCATCACAGATGTAAAGTACTACTCTAGGTAACAAACACATACTTTTTAGAATATTATTAATTAGACAGACTTTAGTAACAAGGCACTTAGCGAACACATTTTTTTTAGATAAGGAAGACGTAATTAGTCACTATCAATATATCAGTTCCTACATGAAAACTGAAGAATAATCATCAATCTGATTTTGCACTCATTGAATCATTTTGCGACAATGTCTTTTTTATAGAAAAGTTAGACAGCAAATTTCGATTGTTCTTTTTCTCAAGTTACAAAACAATTCAGCAATTCAGTTCATTACAGAAAGAAGTGCCCTATCTTTATTACCACACACAAACTATTATTTATTATTTATTTTTGGCACCTAATAATTGGCATATTCATTGTAAGATTTTCACTAAACAGTCTTACAAAAACGCAAAACGTGTTTCGCTTGACAATAGCTTCTTCAGACGTGTCTATACAGACTAAAAGTTAGTTTTCTTTTAATTAGTATACTAAGTTAGTAACTAACTAAGTTAGTAACTAACTTAATTAGTTACTAAGTTAGCATTTTAGGTTAGTATACTAACTTTTAGTTAGTAGAAGCTGTTGTATAACGAAACAGACTAACTAAAAGTAAGTATACTAACTTTAAGTCAGTATGGACAAGCTTGAAGAAGCAGTTTTATAGCGAAACACGTGTTGCGTTTTTGTACACGTAAGTTTTTTAGTTGATTTAATTACTTTCAACTAACTACTAATCGACTAACTTTTAGTTAGTATACTAAGTTGGTAAGTAAGTTCGTTAGTTACTGTCTGAAAGTTTGTCTACCAACTTTTAGTTAGTATACCAAGTAACTCACTAAGTTAGTAACTAACTAACTTAGTTACTAACTAGTTAGTAATTACTAAGTTAGTAACTAAGTTCGTATACTAAGTTAGCATGCTAAGTTAGTATTCTAACTTTTAGTTAGTATAGACACGCCTGAAAAAGCTGTTGTATAGCAAAACATACTAACTGAGGGTAAGTATACTAACTTTTAGTCAGTATTGACACACTTGAAGATACGAAGCTGCAAGTTTTTCAGTTAGTATACTCCCAATTAGGGCCACAATTTAAAATATTAACCAGCTCCTCGAAATTTTTTTTTAGAGAAAACGAACAAAGTCTTTGTCATATTCACTAGCATCACTTTGGCACAGTACACAAATCAGCCTTCACACAACCCAATTTCAAGGTACTAAAGCCACTGCAGCCAGTCGCCAAGCTCAGCATCTGCTTCAACTGATCCATCGTTCTCAGGCAAACCACAACGCAACAATTGTCGGCCTTTTCCCTACAACTCGGGTTATTTGCCATTATCATCTTGACGGCGTTAGTGGTACCCAAGCACTCTGAAGTTGGTGAGGTGTCCTGACTCAATGACTGAGAGGACGAGTTTGACACAGAACACTTTGAATGGCATGTACTACCACCACTGCAACAAGAATTACTCGTTGTGTTCTGACTGCCAGCAGCTGGTTGGATATTAAAACTATTTCCCTTGTTCTGTTCACACAAAGGTGCATTATTGTTCAAGAGAGTAGCTTGTGGATCATTCAAACTACTGCCTCTCTGATTATTTTCAGTTTCGCAGGATTGGGCACTCCCACAATCCTTACAATTTTGTTCTGTAGCTCCAAGTGTAAGATTACTACTAGTAGTTTCGTTAACATCGCTGCTAACGCCCAGAATCGCATTCAAGTCATCAGTGATATCCAGAGGAATCTGAGCGTGTGACGCATCTGGATATGTCTGAAGTCCAATCAGGGAGGAAGGTAAACTACTTCCATTGTTGTTCTCCTGATAATTACCCACAAAATTGATGTCAGGCTGATTTACGTCCGTCCACTGTGAAGACATTTCACTGTCAGATGGTAGAGAGAGTCCAAAACTCTCTGTTAGGTACAGTTCATTATCTAAGGTGGTAACAGTCTCTCCAGTTAGTTGGTCATTTCCAGGATTCGCCTGCAATAATATATTTTCGACACTTATAAAGCCCACTTTAGCCGTATCAACTCTGGCGTTATTATTGGATAGATACATTGAATTCTGTGGATCTGTCCCAGCATTGATTTCACTCAAGTTTTGGAACTCCGATATAACAGAGTTTTCTTCTAATTCCACCTGAACGTCGTTGATCAATGTCTCATCTTCTTTGCCGTTCTCAACATTTTCTGTACCGATGTTGAATAATAGCTGAAGTGGTATGTTCTCGGTGGTTACTGTAGCGTAGTCTTTCAATCTATTTGCCATCTCGTATTCCTCTTCAACAACAGCAGCGTACTTTTCCGACGCATTTTGACTGACATTGTAACCATTGTTAAGTAAATTGTCAGGTGCTGTTGACGTCAGGTTGTAGTATATATTATCAAAGTTCAGTGTAGAATCTGCAACAGCATCCTTAGCAGGTACTTGATTTTGCTCAGATGATAATTCTACAAATCAATAATTCAATTAGAACATACAAATGTGAATAACGAATAAAACTAGAGTAGTAGAGCATTTTGTTAATATTGCAATCGTTAAATATATGTTTGTATAATAATAGCAAATGATACATTACTTTGAAATCGATTATTAGATATTCATTTCTACTGACATCTAGAAGAATATTTAAAATTTTTCGCTGTATTATTGAATAAATTTTTTTTTTCCAACCGTTCAGAAAGTACCCACTTCCCTTACACTTTATGGCCATCCCATACTCCACATAACAGATTATTTGTAAATCACAAAAAAGAAAATGTTCAATTCAGCCTGTTGCCACATTTTTCGAAATCTTAGCTTGAGAATCGCAGAATTTTTAAGCTACCCAATCCTAAGAATTACACATACGAGTGGTACTATTTATATCTCGGCAATGGCAAATGATAACAAACATTTTTTAGTAAAAATGGCTTTATTGTTTTTCGAAATATTCCCCTTGATGATTAATACACTTTTTCATTCGTTCAAACCAATTGTCAAAGCAGTTTTCCCATTTCCCTTGAGACACCTCCAAAACATGGTTTTTGAATGCCTAAACTGCTTCTTCGGCGCTCGTAAATCGTTGACCACGCTGTTTACCTTTGGTATTCGGTACCAAATCGGGGCTGTACGGAGGACGAGTCATCAATTCGATGTTTTGACTGCTCAAAAATTCACCTGTTTGACAAGATGTGTGACGCATTGTCATGATGGAGAATGATTCGTCTTCGGCGATCAGTTTTACGAATTTCTCCTGAGACTTCCAGCAAAAAAATGGTTGTGTACCTCTCAAAATTGACATTTCTACTTTGCTCAAGCGGAACAGTGGCCACATGACCCATTCGGCCGAAGAAACAAGCGACCATTCGCTTCGATTGCTTCTTCCACGAACAATTTATGTTGGATACCTTCACGGTCGATTGCTGTCTGTTTCTGGACTGAGTCATGGCCGGTGGGAGAAATCGTACATACATACTTATTGTATTGAGGGAGGGGCTTCTCACCACGGTCGAATTTTTTAATCAGTTCTTTACACCACTTGACGCGAGCCTTTTTTGGGCGATTGTTGAATTATGGGGTATCCAACGAGAACAATTTTTTTTAAAACTAAGTATTCATCCAAAATCCAATATTGAAGTGGAACTAATGTGCAAGAATGCCTCTATCTCACAATATGACGAACTTGCATTAACAGGTCACGCACTGCATCGATTTTTTGTAGGACAACCGATTTTGGACGCCTTTCACGGAATTCGTCGGCGACCGAACAATGACCAAGATTGAATTCACTATACCAGTGATATACTGTGGTTTTTGATGGTGCTTTAGCCATCATCATTTAGCCATCATCATCAGTTCATCGACAGATTTTTGGTGAGACAATCCACGTCGAAAATTGTGAACAACGAAATTGTGAACAACGAAAACCTTTTCTTCATATTTCCATTTTTGTTCAAATTGATTTTCTTAACTCACTGTAAACAAAACAAATAACACTTGAACGTTTATGCTGAAAAATTTCAAACTGTATTATGGTGTTGCCAGTTCCCTAAATATAAATGGCTCCCCATCGTAGCATTCTCAGAACTTCAGTGACGTTATTTATCGATAATGGTGGAAACATCACAAATTTGAAGAGACACGGTGGCTGGAAGTCTACTGATGTCGCTGAAGGATATATAACTAACTAACTTACAAACAAAATCAAAAGTGCCAAAACGATTCAAATCTTATCAGATGGAAACAATCAATGTAAAACGGAAACGTTTCATTCTTGTTCCGACTTCAACAAAAAGCATTTAACTATACCAAGCGTTTCAAACAAATTGAATTGAAATGTTAATATAAATGAGAATTAGAATGTTTCTGTTAGTACCTATCTTCTGTTCGAATCTCAATGAGCTGTGTCTCAATGATCTGTTATCTATGGTTGCCGAAAAAATAGTATATGCAACATGTTATTGCCTACGCTTCCAAAAAAAAACAGTATTTTCCGGACTTGTTATATAAATTCCTATTTTGATACTATATTACGAAATGTTTCCCTAAAACTTCTGATGAGAGTAGCAAGTAGCAACAAGTTCCTTTTCAACAAATTTCCGAAAATTATGATTGAGCAGGTCATTCTATTTGGAATGACATCCAGAATTGTTGAAAAATTTGAAGTTTCGCGCAGATAAATTGCAAAGGTTATAAACAAATAAGTGAAAATTAAAGAACGAGGTTTCGTTTTCTGCAAATTTCTCAAGATGTATGAATTCTGAATTCAATACTCAAAAGTATATATCATTCATGAAGGAGGTGAAGTTTGAAATAGACTTTATATTTGTAAATATGTATAATATTTTGACACTATAAAATACATAATGTACATTCCGAAATAAATGGTCCCTATCTTAAATTTGTCCATTTGCAGTTTCACATAGCCTGTCATCTGTCTATTACTTTACTCTAAGCCACATAGACCTTTACAATACCTCCTTCTTGATGGAAAGATGCAAACAGCCTAAAAGTAAAATATGTACTGTTAGTGTTGAACAATTCCTATTATTACTATTGAAGATAGTTTTGGTTTGAAACCATTTCAAAATATACACAACCTTCAGAACACCTCGAAAACCAAAAATGAATATTGGAGCCCTTGGCGTAGGAAGTTTCATTGGTCAAAATGTTATTATTTATAATTTTGTGAAAAACTATTGGTAATCTTTGACCTTGATTATAATTTTCAACAGAAGCCTTATCCATCCTGTCTAGCTATGTGTGATCTGGCTTTTATGTTGTTTATAACAATCGGGCGGATGGCTCTTTTCTGAATGGAATCCAGCAACAATGTCTGGTACAGAATCAAGAATGTAAGGCTTTTGGGCTCTGGTATCATCTATGTACATTAGTCACTAACACATCTACTGATGGTACATAATTGGACGAATTATGGAGAGCATTTGCTGTCATTACTTATAACTTTTTCGTTTCCAGATGGAAAGTCAAAAAAAATGTCACTACTTTCTCTTTATTAAACGACAGTTGTGACTCCTACCCATGTCACATTCAAATACAACTAGTCCAATAGTTATTGGTTCTCAACAGAAATAATTTTACGTAACTTTAGTGTCGCCCCATAAGGGGGCTATGAATGAATTGATAATGAATCGGAGACAAATACCATTCAGAATAGTGAATGCTACATTTATCTAAGTTGCCTTTGACACTATAAACCACGATTTATTGATATCAATTTCACATTAAGTTGGTCTGTCAACTTCAACTATCACCTTGCTTGCCAATAATCTTAATGGAAGAAATCAAAGAGTTACGTTTGATGGAACTTTTTCATCTCCCCTATCTCTTCAGCGCGGAGTTCCACAAGGATCTATACTTGGGCCGATCCCGTTTGCTCTTTGATCCTCCAATCTTATAAAAATTTTAATCACTGCAAGGTGCACTTCTATGCGGAAAACACCCAAATTTATTATAGTTTCCCCCCTCTAAAGTCTATCCAAATCCAAGACAAAGTGACACAAAACAAAACCGAAGCGTGATCTTCACGTGATCGCCCAGTATCAGATGGAAAGGGCAGCGTTCATTGGTGAATTCGCCTTCTTGGTACGAGTTCGGTACCAGCACAGGGTTGTAATCAGTCGTTTGCGTGTTTGTGTGGCGTGCATTATAGTATATTGTTTAAAATTGTTTTCCAAGATGTCCAGTACAGACACTGCTGACAGCCAGGAAACGATCCAAAAAAAGACATTTGAGTGTTGAGATGAAAGAAGTGATTTTAAATGTGATCAAGAAAGAGATGGAAGAAATTGAGACATCGACTGTCGACGAAGTCGTATCGAAAGTTTCCGATAAAATTGGAGTGTGTTGCGCTTCGATTTACAATGTTTTACGGGAATATAAACAAAATCATACATTTTCCAAACCGAATACAAATCAGAATCGTCAAACCATTACAAAATCAATAGATGATGCTGATAAACATGCAATCAGGAGGAAAGTGTATGAGTACTTTTTCAGAAATGAAATACCCACGATAGACAAAGTACTCACAGAAATAAATGAAGATGTTTTATTGCCAAGTTTTGAGTGGTCAACATTCCATAAAGTATTGAAACATTTGAATTTTGTATGGAAAAAACGAGGGCGCAATAGTTTATTATTGGATAGAGAGGAAATTGTGTTATGGAGGAGAGAGTATTTGACCAAAATTAAATATTATAGGGAACAACAGAGAACAATTTATTATATGGATGAAACCTGGGTTAATGCTGGTCATACTACCCCAAAAGTATGGGTCGATGAAACTGTGACCTCATCTAGGAGGGCCTTTCTAGATGGACTATCCACCGGATTAACAAATCCATCAGGTAAACTTATATTTATATTAAGACCTGCCTCAATCTCAATATATAAAAAGTAACCTTCGTATTTGTTTTATTTACTTACATACCTCTTCATAATTTCAGGAAAAGGAAAACGGCTTATTATTTGTCATATCGGCAATGAGAATGGGTTTGTTGCTGAAGGGCTGTGGTGTTTCGAGTCGAAGAAAACTGGAGATTATCACGAAGAAATGAACGGTGAATCTTTCGAACAGTGGTTTTCCAAAGTTTTACCCCATCTGGAGGATAATGCTGTGATTGTAATGGAGAATGCACGCGACGGTTAGAGAAGATTCCGACAACGTCTTCAAAGAAGGTTGAAATCCAAAATTGGCTGCTATCAAAGAATATTAGCTTTGAAGACTCAATGTTAGGAGTACAGCTACTAAAAATTGTCAAGGAGCGCAAGCTTGAATACCAAAAATATATAGTCGATGAGATGGCAGCAGACCAAAACAAAATTGTCCTTCGCCTGCCTCCATACCACTGCGAGCTCAATCCCATCGAGTTAATATGGGCGGATGTGAAGAATTTTGTAGCTCAGCATAACACCACGTTCAAATTTGCAGATCTCAAAGTACTTTTTGATGAGGCTTTGGAAAGAGTCACAGCGGAGAAATGGGAGAAGTGTGTTCGACATGTGATATCGGTCGAGACAAAGATGTGGAAGCTTGATAACATAATAGAGGCACAAATCGAGCCACTGATAATTCAGATTGGTAAGGATGACACTACTGATGAAGAGACAAATTCATCCAGTTGAATAATTTTGATTAATATTCCTTTTGATTTTACATAAAATAAAAATTTTCAATAAAGAAATAATAACGTCTCTTTTCATATAATGCTTGAGTGCGCTGTGAAAAATCCAATGAAAATATTTTTATATTACACATATTATCTGCAATTTTTCCCGTTAAACTGCAAAACTTGTGCATTTCACTCGTTATTATAAAAAAGTTTTCCTAAGTATGATATAGCATTTGCGATCAACAAGATGTTGGTTCTCAATAAGACCCTGGCCAATTCTTGGGATTTTCAATATCACGCGCGTAGGGCATATCAATGTTTACATCCACTCTATCTTGGATTTGGATAGACTTAAGATGTAAATGATTCTTGCAATATACTTAATAAAGACTTGGATAATTTTTATATGGCTGCAACAGAACACTGTCAAAAATCAAATGTTCTATTATTTGGACAAAAGTCCAAACCTAAACATATCAATCAATGGAGTGAATATCGAGTTGGTGGAAGAAGCGAAAAATTTTGGAGTCATCCTTGACCACACTCTCTGATTCGAAAAGTATTTGAATAACTTGATACGACGTACATATTCTTCTTTAAAAATGATATATGGAGTTAGGCAGTATCTTCCACTGAAATTGAAATTAGTATTATGTGAAGCACTAGTTTTATCACATTTTACCTATGCTAATACTTTCCGTGGACCACAATTGAGTGAGCAGTATAAACATAAAATTCAAAAAGTATAAAACTCGTGCTTGAGACTTATTTATGGAATAAGACGTTCTCAGAGAATCTCTCATAAGCTCAAAGATGCCTATTGGTTAAATATGAATAACAGAAGAATCTTGCATGCCGCCAACCTATTCCATAAAATGGAATATCAGTTCCAGGGGAACACTTACTCCACCTTCTTTTAAAACTGAATTTCAACGCAGGTGTTTCAGTTATCAAATATGCCATGTGATGAATGACCTTCTCCTAGAATTACGTACAGCTAGGTTCCAAAAATTCACATCGTTTTGCTCCTACTTCTGTAAACTTACTTGTCGTAGTGTGGACAAATTTGTATATTTTTTTTGCTTTTGAATCATTTAAAGAAAATTCAATAGAGAGGTATTTTTTAGGGTTAAGTAGAAGAACAGTTCAGTTGTTGAATCTATTCAAGAACTGAACTGAACTTCGCCCTTTATTTCCTCAATCTCGTTTTCTTTATTTATTTTTTGAAAATAATAAAGACTATTATTATTATTATTTACCGACTTTACTACAATATCATTTTGGAGTTTTATTTGCGCTGATCTACTGGGTCTTAAAATCCTCATAAGAATAATAAGATACACCATAAAGAAAATAGAAAGACCCTAATATGTCTCAATAAATTCAAAGGAGTGAGTATGCTTCAATAATAAAATCTAAAGAATGCAAAGCAAGCGTAAATTCATAATCTGTCGTTACTGAAGCGATTGATCGTATATTGCCAAGAGAGCTAGCAAATATCCAATGGTTCAAGCATTAAAGTTTAGGTGCCAACAGAAAAAACACACACAATTTAGTTGTTTAGGAAATGTTTTTGAATATTTTTTACCCTGATAAATTTGTTCGTGAAGGTCAGAGTTTTTAAATTGTTTCCAATCTAAAGTGAGTTTTTCATGAAACTTCATATCATGAGTGTCCTCAAAAATGAAAGCTAAATTACCAGTTTGCGGTGTCTCTAACTCCTGAATTTGTATGGTTTCTGTTCCTCGCTCTGCCAACGTGTCGATACGATTTTCTTCGATAGGTTTACTCTCATCTGCTCGCAAATTATCCCCAGAACCACTATACAAAAAAAAAACTAGTATCAATAATATTGAACGTGAAATATGTTAGGAAACAAAAATTTTCAACAGGAAAAATGATATAAAGTGACTTAGACCGTTTGAGAAAACTGAGTCAACTGACAGAAATATTTATTATAGATACATAGTTGATTCTTACTGGTCTTACGGGGTCTGTTGAAAAAATTTTTAAATTTCGCGGGCTACATACCTACATTCTATTCGCAATTTTTTTTATGTTGGTACACTCGTCTCGAACATATTTTCAGTTTTAGCTGTTTAGCAAGTTTAGTTTATTGGTTAGAGGCATATAAGTTGGAAGTATTTTGCGTGTTCTGCGATTTTCTGCAATCGAAAAAAAATTGATCAGACTTTGCATTAATTTTGTGTAAAAATGGAATTAAGTGCCCAATAGCAGTGTTGACAGTGGCAAACGGTGATTGTACTCTCATCGACCGAATGTCAAAGCTTTGCTCATTATTTTCTTCGTTCGTGGCGTTGTGCATCAGGAGTTATTGCCACATGGTCTTGCGGTCGTAAATTTTTTAAAAAATGAAAATTCATCTCATTTTTTTAACAGACAGTGTACGATAACATCAAAAGTACCCGTGGGTTGGGCTACCTAATGGGCAGTCCCCAGGTGGCGGATACGGGAACGGCCAGGGCACTGGAGGCCCTGTCCGGGAAGCAAATGTGGTCTTATGGACGGGGTCGCCGGACTCCTGGTCAGTGGCGAAATAGGGGAACTTAAACCCCCAAAAGCCTTTGCAAAACATGCCACCGTGGACCAGCCTACCCAAGCTAAGGTAGGCTGGTGCCAACAGCTGAATGGCCGCAGGGTGATATGCGGTCACGAACGATCCCCTTGGGCAACTAGGCGAAAGCTGATTGTAATCAGCCTTTCTCTGGTAATGCGGGGCTCTGCCAGAGGTGACCAACTCTTCCCTTGCTACTCGTGGGAACACATATGAATGAAACAACACAAAAACAGAAACAACAAAAACAAAAACCAATCCCAAGGCTGGACAGAAGTGCCCACCTCAATCTAAGGCGGTGGATGGGGATGAACGGAAATGTCCACCCCAATCTACCGCTTGGAATGAGGCTGGACATAACAGATCACCTCCAACAGCAACGGCACTTCCTGCGGCGGGCGCCAAGAGCTCCGCCTTGAATAAAGGCAAGGAACCGGCTGCCCCTGCAGGAAAGCTCCCTCACTTGTGCACCTCCACGGAGGGAACCCCAAGAAGGTTGAAGAAGCCGCGTAACGACAGTAATGTCGCTGCACCTTCCAAAACCTTCGCGGAGGTCACCGTGAGACACCTCAAGGTTGCCAAAGAGAGTGTGTGTTCGGCGAGTCTTGGCCTACACCTGCCAATATAAAGGATATGTCTCCTAGTGACCTATTCACCTTGCTGGTAAGGACTGGATGGACGATGACCTAGAAGAACAACTCCTCGGGAGGATGTACAATGGGTCACATGCGACCTAAGTGCTCTGAGTCTACACTCACCCTCCCTACTCTACAGATACCAGATAGCAGAACATCAGAAGTACGCTTTCCATTTTTGTACCCTGTAGATTGTAGAAGTTTCGTAAGTCATTAGGTGAAACTGAAGTTTGTACATTTAGAAACATTTAAAAACACACTACCTGAATAGAGTTTCAAAAAAAAACAGAAACATTCAATACTTAAATTGCGACAAACAATACGAAAAAAAAAACGTCCGGTTCGGCGGGAAAACAAATCACGGCTATTGCATCACGATATTTTTTGAGAAAAATTAAAATTCACCTAATTTCTTCAACAGACCTCGTATACCACAAAATACAACGGAATACACAGTTTTCCAAGCAACCTAGTATCAGAATGCAAAACTGTAAAATCACTTCATTTACCTATCATTTATTGTGTCTGCATTTTCCGGTACAGTTGAATGAGTTTGCAGCGCTTCAGAATTCGATATCTCAACAGAAGATGCACATTTAATATTCTCTATGTCCACTTCTTGGATTTTTTCTTGTTTCTGATGAGTTTTGATATGCGATTTCAAACTATGAGAGGTAGAGAAAGCTCTGTGACATTCGTTTGTTTCGTTGCAAGCGTAAGGTTTTTCTCCAGTGTGTATTCTTTGGTGGGTCTTGAGATGATGACTGGCGGTGAATGCTTTACCACATCCGGATTCTTTGCATCTGAAGAAATAAAACTGTAAATTTCCATCATATGACAATAATGAACCCGTGTTTATACAAGATGGTCCATTAATCTTCTGAAGGCAAATATTTCATGGTGAACCGAAGAAGGTTAATTTCGATTGATTTTTCTGTCTAGAACATACACATTGAATCTTGGAAAGTATCTGTGAATTAGAACCCCGCCAGAAGGAGGCTCACAAAAACCAGTGAAGAACTCTTTATGGAAAGGAAACGATGATGTGGCACAAAGTAAATTACTGTATCTCCTTCTTGTATCAAAATATCTAACATTTTCTTCCTTGGGTCAGGTTAACTGAAGTTTGAGATAATCGTGGAAATTAATCATTTAACTGCTTCAAAAATAACAAAACAATTACATAAACATTCATATTTGCAAACATTTCACAAATAATGTGAGAAGTAAGAGGTCTTTTATAAAACGCTTTCCTATCTCTAAATGTAAATAAAACAAAGCGTGTGTGTTTTGACCCACGATTATTTTATCGTGATTATGAATGCTTAATGCACACAAGAATTACAAAAACTCTTGTCTTGTGAAAATATAGGATAAGAAAAATAACTGACAAGATATACTGTAGACAAGACAAGGTTTATTCTAACTACACTCTTACAAGGTTTGAAATGTAATGAATGATTTTACGAAATGCAATGTTTCACATCGGTAGTTATAGAAGGGGTCAGATTCGTCATTGAAGGGATAGGCAGAGGTTTGGATTTACATAGGTAGTAGAGGTCATAATAGCGGCTAATTCCCAAGATAAGGGATACAAGGAACAATTAAGGAATTAAAAATGTAGCTATTTGTAGCTTACAATATTTACGTGACTTGAATGTACGGGTTGCTTGGGAAAAGATATTCGAGAATATTGAATTTTATGGGGATAAGTGGATTAGAAAAGACCCGTACATTAGAAGACCAACTAGCAAACCCCGGTTGGGAATAATGAAAAATTAAATAACTTTAAGAAGATTGGTTGACAATACATAAAATGAAAATAATGCCACAAAACAATATGTTTTGTTGTACAAATTTTAGAGCTGGCAACTCTAGGCTAAATACTAAAAAATTAAGGTTCAGTTGAAAAACATAATAATTTCGATAGCAAGATTTTGAGACCAAACAGTGTGATATATCATCGAAATTTGTATTTGTTTGAAAGACCTATTGATGCCATTATGTAGAATATAACATCGTTCAAATGTTCGCCATAGCTTTTCTGGGTGAAGCGCATCCGAAACGTCCTATTTCTCATGACTCTGGCGCGTAAATCAGGCTGAATTTGACCGGTGGCATAGGTTAGCTCGTGCAGAATATCCAATGTGACATGAGCTGTGTGACACATAGCGCCGTCCTATTGAAACCATATGTCATTGATGTCTATATCATCACATTTGGGCTAAAAAAATTGGTAATTTTCGACCTATAGTGCTCGCCTTTGACACTGAAGGTCCGGCCAACGTCGTTCTCAAAGATATATGGACCGATGACATCAAACAGTGACTTTTTCGGGATGCACTTGAATCTCATGTGGATTGGTATCATCATAAATTCGACAATTTTCTTTGTTCACGTACCCACTCATCCAAAAATGGGCCTCATCGCTGGAGATGATTCTTTGATGAAAATTAAAGTCGGTTGCCAACTGCTCCAGAGGCCATTCAGCGAACACACATCGTTGTCTATGGTCGTTCACCTTCAGCTCCTGGGTCAGTTGAATTTTGTACGGGTGCAGGCCCAAGTCACGACGCCAAAGTTACCAAGTTATGGTCTGCGAAAGACAGCGGCGATGTTTTCGGCAGATCTTGCGTTTCGTCGACGTAGGGGTGTTGGTCTACTGTTGACGATTTCACAGTTTGACGATCTTAATATTATGTGGTACTCGGATTGAGAGATTTTCGACAGATCTGAATTTGTTTAACGAGATAAGATAAGAAGCATTGATGTATTTCCAATTCGATGATAATTTTGACGTTCAGAACACCGAGTAGACACCTCAGAAACTAATATTCAAGAAGTCAAGTACGGAAAGAGATGGTATAATTTCATCCCTCATTAATTATCAAGTTATTCCAGTGAAATGGATGAACTAAATACCTCTAGGAACTGGTGAAATCAGCTACTCTAATATCGACTAAACGACAAGACTAGATAAACGGTGTTCAATTCATAAAACTATTCAGATAGAAATAACTTGTCTATACTTTATGAAAATTTTCACAACTCCATTATTAATATCACATCTGGTCTAATCGTTCAAATGACTTTGACGAATCCATTACATAATGAATCCATCATTTCATGTTATCTGAAAGGTTGAGTTTCAAACCTTCCTTTGGGAAATGAAGAATTCTGAATTCATGAATGTACTCATTTTCCTCCGTAGTGAGGTGATGAGATTGAATCCATTTTTCCATTCTAGAAACTATTTCTATGTTCTAAGATGCGAGCTTCAAATGTTCTTCCAGTCTGACCTATGTAAAAACATCGGACATGATCCACATGACAATTTATGAACTCCTCAACTATCTAACATCAAACTCTTGCCTTTCGTAATATGCAAGTTATTTTTGTTTTATTAGCCGTGTTTACATCTTTATTTTGTAGGAACTTCACATTTGTTGAAGTTTGTTTGAAAACTACTAATTGATTTTTTCCCAGTCAATAGAAATTTTGTTTGAATTGAAAGGGGTATATTTTTTTAAGAGAGAATAATTTTTGGGAAAGAAAGGGTAAGGGAGTCAAGCTCCAACCTGTTTGAAATCAAGACGACGCGCAGGAAAGAAAGGTTTTGATTTTCAACTGGAAATCATCCAGATTGTGTCTGAAAAGTTACTTCTATGCATGATCTACACATCTTCGTAAATTGTTTATTTTTACATTAATTGCATTCTTCCTTTCTATGGAAGATTATCACATTTTTGAAGTTATACTTCTTTAGGCGCGTTAGGGGAAAATGATGAGAGTGAATTTTTACAAGGCGTGCGGACACCGTCAAGAAAAACCGACACTGAAGTTAGCTTCTTCTTCTTCTTCTTCTTCAATTCATATGACAGTTGCTTCTCCGTCCAGCGCATTTGGCCAGACTCCTTCTGTTCATAGTGAACAAAAGCTTCGTCCGGGGGCGCAGCTGTCTTGCTCGAGGCAATGTTGCCACTCTAAGTTTTCTCATTCACTTTTTCTTTTATGATTTTTTTTTACCTGTGAGCCGACAGTCCTCTCAATATGACTTTCACAAATCTATTATCGCACTGACGACCTCGTCGAATGCGTCGACATCCAGCCTGGTTACTGGCGAAGGGGGGTCGCCAGTCCTCTCAAAATGTCTTTCACTTCAATGGTTATTCGAACTTGACTTTATTTTCTAAAAACACCTCACTTTTGGACTCCACTCCGACCACTACCTCCACGTGCCATCTTTGAGGACGGTCGTTATCGGTACAACCGTCTTCTGTCGCGATAGGAGGAGAAATCCCTGAAGTTAGCTAGTCAACATTTTAGTTTTCCAAAAAAGAAGTTACCAATAGAGTAAAAGTAAGGACATTTACGTTTGTTTGCGTAAGAACTGGCAACTATATTCAGAAGCAGGAAGCTAAAACCTTTCTTATTCGTTCAAATCTCGCTCGAGACGCCACTTTCGGGCTAAATTAGCTGCTTAATGTTATGAATACCAACCATTGCTAAATTACAACAAAATTAGGTAAAGAATATTTAAGATATTTACGAATAACTTTTTTTTATTTTTATTTTAACACCCTTTATCTTGAGAACGAAGGATTTGCGGACCCATGTTTATATGAACATTTCGTCTTAAAATTACCTAAAGAATCGTCTGTTAAATTTATGGTACATACTTAATCAACACCCTGTATATTCAACAAACAATGGATGATTTTCAGAGATTCAAAAAACTTGCAGGAAAATCTAGGACACAACACAGTCCATTGCTAAATTACAACAAAATTAGGTAAAGGATATTTAAGATATTTACGAATAACTTTTTTTTATTTTTATTTTAACACCCTGTATCTTGAGAACGAAGGATTTGCGGACCCATGTTTATATGAACATTTTGTCTTAAAATTACCTAAAGAATCGCCTGTTAAATTTATGGTACATACTTAATCAACACCTTGTATATTCAACAAACAATGGATGATTTTCAGAGATTCAAAAAACTTGCAGGAAAATCTAGGACACAACACAGAAAAATATTTGTTTTGAAGCAGTGGTTTTTAGTTAATTCAGCAACTAAACGATGAAGCACAAAGCAAGAATTAAACGGTACAATGACTAATGAACATCGACTTAGCAAAATCCCCTGGCGTATTAGTAAATTCAAGAACGCATTAGATAAGCCGTATGCAATGGAAAAACACTTACTTATAAGGTTTTTCTCTTGTGTGAGTTCTAACGTGTTTTTTAAGGTCGCTTAGAGTAGTGAAAAATTTGAAGCATCCCTCTGATTCACAATTGAAGGTTTTACCATTATGCAATCGTTCGTGTGCCCTTAACCTATACAGAGTGTTGAATGCTTTGTCGCAACCGTCCTCGCCGCATTCGAATGGTTTGACCTTCGTATGAACTCTGATATGTATTTTCAAACTGTAGGAAGTGAGGAAGGCTTTGCCACAACTCGGCTCTGAACATTTGAACCTGAATTCACCTATAATAAAAAAATATATCCAATTAATATAGAGAAAAGGTTATGGGAATCCTTTCGATAATTTCGAATTAGGAGAGGTGTGGAAAGATTGAGGTTTTATTCAGGATATCTCAAAAATTACCAATCAAATAAAGGAAAGAAAAAAAAACCACGTCAGATCCAATAAAATTATATTTGTCCATGATCGCGATTTTAAAGTTTTCGAGTTATTGTTATTTATACAGAGCGTTCCAACGTAAATTTGACCCTACTGTAAGTCATAAACGGACGTGTAATCGAAAATTTCAAAGAACACGTCAATTTTTATTTCTCGGGGGAGTAATTCTGAATGTTGAACGTTTTATTTAAGAAAAAACAGGAAAACGCTGTCGTTTATTTTAATGAGGAAATCAACAATAAATAATATCAGTGGAAACAAAATCAACGGATAAATTGTTCAAAATGACCTCCACTTAGTTAAATACAATAATACAGCCTACTCTCGAAAGCGTTTCGTACATTAATCAAGATGTCAGCAATCGGTATTCCCCAACAATTCTCCGTCGTAGGTCTTCTAGATTTGTAGGCTTAGTAGAGTACGCTTTCGACTTCAGGTGCCTCCACAGAAAGAAGTTCATCGGTGTAAGATAAGGTGATCTAGCTGACCACTCCACTGGACCCCTTCTGCCGATCCAACGCTTTGGAAAACGTTCGTCCAAAAACTGTCTCACCCGAACATCAAAATGTGGGGATTGCACCATCCTGCTGGAATCAGTGCCCGATCCAGCTATTTCGCCGCTCCGGGCAAAATAATATTTGCAGCCCTCTACCCGTTATTCCATAGATGGTATAATTTTAACCTATTTTTGCCACCCCTCATTTGCACCGCCCAGGGCAATTGCCAGGTTTGCCCCCCCTAGATTTGGCGCTGGCTGGAATGTTATTTCACTTTCTACTAAATTGTCATCATTTTCTAAATTTTTTGTAATCATAGGATCTACACAGTCTTATGATAGATTTAAGTATGTGTCCCAATTGGGATTACCTTCAATGAAGAATGGTCCAACAATATGATTACCAAGAATGCCGGCCCAGACATTCAATTTTTGTGGAGTTTGTGATTGTGTTTCAATCACCAAATGAGGATTCACATCGTTCCAGTAACGACAATTATGTCTATTGACTTCACCATTCAACATGAAAGAACTTTCGTCTGGAAAACATGTTTTGTATAATAGGTTTGGGTTATTGGTTAATTTCTCGCTGAACACCTCACAAAACTGAAGTCGACCATCAGGATCATCTTCGTTCAATTCTGGAACTAGCCTTATTTTGAAAGCACGGAATTTGTAGGCTTTCAAAATCCGATAATCACTAGTAGCTACATGTCTGATAGATCGTCGATTATTCATTTGTACATGTCCTGAAACTGCAACTTTAACTCCGTTATTTCTGACAGGACAGAATACTTCATGTTTTCTGTTTTTGCAACAGCTTTAGCACATTCATTATTTCAATAATAGGTTGCAACAATTTCTATTCTTTCTTCAGTAGAATAAACCATGTTGGAACACAGTGAACATGGATGACTGAATAATAATTCGTGAAGAAGTGACAGTGACCAACTACTTACTTTTTGTTCTGCGACAACTAGATTCAACAAAAACTACCAGTGCAGAAAAAACTAACAGTGTCGTCCATTTCAAAACGTTCACTACTAATTAAATAAATTCTACAAATGTAGAAGACCTGCGACAGATTATAACATCCCAAATTGAGAAACATTCCCCATTGTTTCGAGAAAAATTAATATAATTGAAAACTAAAATTATATTTGATTTGGTGCTGAATATACGTTTTTTTTATGGGCATGTTAACAAACAAAATTGTCGCTAATGGCCCGATGAAAATCCGCGTCTTTTTAGGAACGGTAAAAGTGAACGTTTGAGCTGGTATTCTTAGGAATTTTACTTCATTCATCAAGGACAATCTACCTGGTGAGCTCTTATTAAATATTTTTGAAAAAGTAAGAGACTCGTTTGCAACTATTTTCGAAAACTGAATTCATGCGGCTGATAACATGATTTTGCAAAAGGATCGTATTCACCTTCAACAAGATGGAGCAATGAAACGACCACCACGGTCACCTGACTTATCGCCTATTGATTTCTTCCTATGGAGGCATCTAAAATCGATTGTTTATGAAACACGGCATCGAGATTCAGAAGACTTGGCCTGCAAACTTTCCCACTTGAAAATAAGTTTGACGTGTTTTTGCATTTTGTTAGATTTTCTATAGAGGCCGAAATTAACTCCCTGTATATGTTCAGTACGCTAACTCCATGCACCTTCAAAATGAGTTTCGAGCGAAAGAGCTACCGCAGTTGAAATTGACGGGAACGGGACATGTAGAAAAAATACAAAAAGTCTCGAAAACAAACATTTTCTCAACATTAGTGGTCTAATTCTAATTTGAAAGGATGGATTAGACCTGTCGCGATTGATCGTCCAAGAGCTCAGTGTGATTATACGTATGTGAACAAATTGATATTTATTTTTTCTTTTCAAAGCCAAAAAATATTTGGTCGAGACGACAGCTTTCAAAAATTAACTGCTGTGCATTTAGAAAATTAGTTACCATCTACCGAGTTGGGCGGTTGAAAATTAGCATGATCCTCATCCTGACAGAAGTAACAGTTCAGTTTTGCGGTATTTGAACGGTTCACAAACTACAAACTGTGGTATTTAATTTTGGATAGGGCGCATGCGCGAACTGATTGCGTCAGATACACAAGTGTGGCGGAATATGAAACAGTATAGCGGAATTTGGTTCATGTGTAGCGACTTTTTGTTCATCCTGTTGGCAACACTGCCCCAGCGGAGCAGGCACAAAATATATGCTCTGCTGTTTCATCGTTAATGAGGTAGTCGTATAGTCAAGGTGCAAGATTCCCACCTTGGTACCCGAGACAACCTTCCCATATGAGGGTTTTGCACGTCAGCTACACCTGACGATGCCTTAGATTCAACCGGGCAGGGCTTTTTCGCCTCTGGTTTTGGTGAATCATCACTCATGGGGGGTTTGTTCCTCCACCTGACATAGATTCAACGTACTCCGCTCAAGAATTTGGTGAAAGGCGGTTTCATAAGATACCCCGCTCTTGAGGAGACGACTCAGTCGTTGCCTGGCTGCACCACCAAACCCTTTTTTTTAGGTTCAGTTATTGGATCAGGAGTTGGAGAGTTGAGAAGCTCTCGCTCCTGATCTAAATTTACATGGAGGTCAGTTGGAGTCGTAAGCTCGACATCCATCTTCTCTGTCTACTCAGCGTCCGAAAGAATTTTTAAGTTTATTCTGTTCATAAAAGTCTCACGAGTAGCTAGGGAAAGAAGGTCAATCACGGCAGAGCCCTGCATTACCGTGACAAGGCGATGCTACGAAGAGAGGGCGCCCGGTATCTCGAAGGTTCCGTAGAGACAGCTGATAGGCTCAGTGTCATTCATCCTCTCGGCACGGATATACATACACACACCTTAGGATTAAGCCATCGTTGAGATGCCATTCAGTTACGGAATAACAAGTGATTCTATCATTCCCGATTCCAGCGGGACTACGTGGAAGCAGGCACCCGATGGCCGGTTTGCTCAACGTTTAAAATCTGTTTAAAAAATCTGTTTTTCTGTTAATCAGAAATTGAGAAACTTGTGCGAGCTAAGGACTAACGAGGTCTTACCTTTTAACGTGTGATTCCTAACACACTAACACCTGAATGTAAGACCTCGTTAATTAGTAGCTCATACAAATTCCGACTTTTGAGGGTTATCGTTCGTAGGGGATGACAGCTACTTAACGAAAAAACGCATTTCAAAAGATTTTTTCAACAGATATCAGCAAAAACGAGTCAACTTGAATGAAACTTTTGATATTGTCAACTAGTTTTCAGGGTGGCATATTTCTACGTGAAAATCAACCCCTTGTCCAAGGGCGACCACATTGGAAAATCGGAAACATAAGAGCCTGAAAAGTTGTCCATTTTGGATCTTATTTGAATCACGTTTGATAGTTTAGAGAATTCCAATTTGATTGGTACATCACTGAGGTTGTAGCAGATGAGGCTAACTTGTACTAGGTGATTATTTTTACCGATCCATATTAAAAAAATTATTTATATTTCGCCTCGGAAACTTTTCATTAAAAATCCCCACACACCATCTTGTTCGGCTTAAGAAATGGCATTGAGAAGGTGTTTTTTTTAATTTTTAATATACTAATCATTTTGAACG